AGGTGGTGGATGCCCCATCCCTGGAAACATTCAAGGTCAGGTTGGACGGGGCTCTGAGCAACCTGATCTAGTTGAAGATGTAGGGGGTAGGGGGGTTGGACTAGATGACCTTTAGAGCTCCCTTCCAACCCAAACTATCCTATGATTCTATGTACGTATCCTATCGCTTGCTCTGTTCTGGAGCATGAGGATGCCTGTTCCCTGCAGCCAATGGTAAAAAAGAGAACAAAGCAGCTTGTGAGCTCTGGGGAAGACAATCCCTCCTTTCTCAGGCTTCCTCAGCCAAGTGGGACCGGAGGCCACACGCGACTCCTCACTCCTCCCCTCCCGTGTTCTGCAAATGGGATTTTTGCCAGTCTTTTTTTCCATTCTAATTAAAAGAGAATTGTGGCTTCAAAGGAAAGCCATGCAGTCTGAATTCAGTTTACTGACTGCTGCAATCCTGTTCACAGGTGTGAGTCTGGGTCTGCAGGATCTCTGGAGCAAGAGCTCATATCTTTGATTTAACATCCACAGGCGGCAGATTTAACTGTACTGATCATCAGAAGAGGAAGTGGAGGACCTTGCTCACACAAGAAAGCAGACAGCACGGCAGGGATCATGGCTGTACGGCCAGTTGGTCAGGAACCACTGGAAGCAGCAATCCAAGGCGGACCATCTAGTTGCAGTGATGAGGGCTGTCTCTTTTTTCAGCTCCAACAGCAATAGGGACTGGATGACCCAGGTTCACTTTCCTTCCCTGGACAATGAAGAATCACTAACTGTGCTACCACGAGGGCCTGCTTCTTCCAGGCTTTGACTAGAAACTCAGGAAGCTTATCCAAGAATGGCATTAAGCCTGGCAGATGTGTACTTGCTGTAAGCCAGAGAGGAGGCACTGCTTTATGTCAGCTCCTGCCCAGTTACGGGGCTCTTGCATCTTCTGGGGCAACTCCTGCAGTTCTTGCCCTCTTGTTTCAATACCCACTGCAGCTGCAACAGCAGACGCAGATCACTGTTTTCACTGTATAGCACTCTGTTTCCATGCCAGCTGTAATTACACCCACAAGCACCTTCTATGTACACCTCCTTGCAACTCAGAACAGAAAAAATTCGATACAAGAAGACATAGTAATACGTTGCATTTAGTTCATTAAAGTGTGAGGGCAAGTAAGACAAAAAGAGTGGTAAGTTCAGTATTTTTTCTCCTCAAAATGAAAGTTGTATCTTTAAGAAACAAAACCAAACCCCTCCACAGCCCAGTTACATCTTACAGGTGGCACTCAGCAGCTGGAATTTACATGACTGCTGCTAAAAGTTAATTTGAAGATGTATTTTTAATGTATTCAGGGAGAATGTTAGATATATTGAGAGCAAAATAGTTTTATTACCACCACTGATCTGTGAACAACTGCATCCTCAAGTCTGTAACATGAGATTAGTACCCAAGACCAGAGCAGAGGCAAACTGACCGACCTTATTTGAACACGATGCATTAGTTTCAAGGTCTTGAAGTTAATGTTATTATGTCCCCACCTATCTCACCCAGCACAAGTTCCTGAAGAGTTTAGAATACGTCTAAATCTTTTCCACCGTAAAGACTTTTTTCTGTCACACATTTTATTAAATAAAAATGGATGTGTTATGACAGCTGAGAACAGGAAAGAGTGGGAACAAAGGCTCTCCATACAGCAGGTTTAAAAAAAAAATTAAGCCGTGATTTGAAACAAAAACACAGTATGTACAATAACAAGTTACAAAAACCAGTAGAAAAAAGTAGAGCAGTAAAAGCAAAAACCTGTTTTATCTGGGAATCCTGAAGGCTAGAACGCAGCAATCTCCACGGACATACAAGTAAGTTTTGAGAGAAGGTATCAGAGTCTGGTAAGGCTGAAGGTCCTACCTATATTAAGCTCTGTATGGGACTTCATGAGAAGACCAAAGAGCACAAGATATAAGGAGCAATCCTCACCTAGTAGAAGGAGCTCAACATTTCAAAAAACACCTGAGCAGGTGACTTACTCAACACAAGAAGAAAATTTATTGTTCGTTTGTTTTGATTAGAGAGTTAATGCTAGGAACAACAGTACCATGATCCTCAAAAAAGAAACTGAGGTAGCTGCCTCGTATCTAATAAAATCATAGGCAAAAAGAAAATGACATGTATCTATTTTGTTCAAAATTCTTCAACAAAGTACAAGCAAAGACAGCAACAAGATTCAGAGAATCAATCCTGCTCATGTCAAAGACATTCAGGACACAGAATAGCTACAATGAATTTTAGCTTCCCTTTCTCTTCCTTTGCTATTTTGAGGTACACAGATAACTCGTTTCTCAGTCACTTTCTCTGGAGAGATATGTTAAATGCTTTACAACGGTTAAGATTACTTTGCCAAATAGTTCAGGTATAAAATGAATGGAAACCAGGAGCGTCTACAAGTCTTTCTTGGCTAAAAAAAGTACTACTTACATTGCGGAATATTTTTCTCTTCATTCCCCAGACCAGAAAAAGAGCATTTTCCTTAACAACTCAGAAGAAATGAGGTGTGACAAGTGCACGTGAATACCACATTTACTAAAATTTCAGAATTATTCTGTTATATTGTCTATAACACACACTGAACATTCTTTTCAAATGTAGCAAAACATTTATCAAGTAAAAATAATTTAAAATCCCTTTGTTACCTAAACTTTTGCCAATCAAAAGGCAGTACTATAACTTGAAACTGATAATGGAGTCAATTTTTTTTATTCTCCTGTTTGCATTAAGCTGGATATAAGCACTGGAAAAAGAGACTTAAGATGGCCATGTAAGGTATGGCTCAACAAACCTCTCCACCCCTCATCTCACACCTCCCTGCACCAGCTACCATTCCTCTACCCAGGTCTTCTGGAAAAAGACAGTCAGAAGCAGCAAAGAGGTGGATGCACTATTTCCATGCAACCTGATGAAGCCTGTACATGAAAGAGCTCATTGTAGGGAAAAGTGAAAGACAAAGAAAGACAGAAAAAAAGAAAGAAAGAAAGGCTTGGTTATTTTCTTGTTATAAAATTAAAACCAGGAAGTGTTCAAAAATTATTTTAATGAGGTTTTTCTTCACACTCTCTCATCCTTCCAACCTCAGTCATATCATGCAAATTAGAGTTCAAATTGGCTGCGTTTTCCACTTGAAATGGCAACGCAGAATGCCAACTCAGTTAAAGGTCTGTTAGGCTTTGTTAGTTGCTTGAAAAGGCAGTCATCTCTCTCTTTTTCTCTATTTCTTTAATATGCTGAAATGTTTTGGGCTTTTAGGGTTTTTTTTCCCCCAACTTGGAAGGCAGAAGAAGGCAGAGGAGAACAAGGTGGAGAACAGCATACTCTTCTTCATTGGGAGGCGGCTTTAAGCAACAACTGAGATAGGAAGGACTACAAAATAGTTGTTATTAATTCCTGGATATCTTGCATCATAAGAATAGGTAGAACATTTGTGCCATACAGACCTGACAGAGTAATTTACATTTTATGAACTCAAATTACAAAGACTGTATATGTGCAGGTACACATTTAAAACTGGAATTGTTGAACAACTGAAAATGAATCAAGCACATCCATTCACAAGTTTATTTTTTTCCTTAAAAAAAAATAATCTAGTTCTTTCCATTAGGAAGGACTGCAAAGGTAGCGGATCTATCCTATCAAGACTAAAGCCAAAAGCTGCCAAACTCTACAATTTATACCATCTCCTAGTGTTAAGAAATAATCTGAATGCTTTAATGTATTTAAAATTTGTTTGAACAAATCTCATCATATATATTAGATAATAGAATGATGCAAATTCTTAGATATGTGCAAGGAATCAGTTGAAAAATATTCTCGGGTAAACTACAAATGCTGGATTACTTTGGGGTGTTGAAGGTGAGCAGTACTGCTTGCCAATTATTTGCTTGTGAGCCTAGTTGTGAGTAAGGCTCCATCCTAGGTGATTTGGATAAATGTTCCAGAGAACACTATACAGCATCTTCTGCCAGAAAGAAGAGCAGAAAACTCTTGGCACCATGAGAATGATCACAAAACTGAGACGTTTCATGGACAAATACTTGCAAGGACCATAATATCATCCTAAATGGTGTAACTTACTTTTAGACAAACGCATGCAGTCTGGGGAAACAGCCTTCTGTGTTCCCAAGACACTTCCATTAAGAGCGATGGTAGTTCTATGTACTCAATGGCAGAAATATAAACACGCTTAGCAGTGAATAATGATTTTTAAAAGTCTGGTAAGATAGACTGAAAATCTTCACCTATCAAAACTGCAGTCATACAGCTTCTGTTTATTTTGTCCATCCAATGGAAGTATTTAACATTCCTCTATGAATATAAGCACCCTTAAACATGGTAGGTTTCTTGAGACAAATACTCTGCCACTGTTTTCCCCACTATAGCACCGCTACCTACCTTCGGCTACATTTTGCTATCAGCACAATTAGGGAGTAAAAGAAAGGATCTCTCTCAAAGAACAACCTTGCTTCATCCACAGAGCTAAAAGCAGTGTTCCTGGAATATTTCCTTCTGGGCACTCTTTATCCACACAAAGGAAAAAAAAAGCCACCCTTCGCCATATTTTACAGTAAGCAAATCAATAATTTGAGGAAAGGAAAAAAGCAGCAACTTTCATAGACTACACTCACTGTACGTAGTAAATCGTCATTTTCAAGACACCAGATGCGCAATAAAGGAGACAGGTTAAAGGAAACAAAAAACATTTGGTTACTTCTTGCCCAGTGAATATTACAAAAGCTGTGCGATTTGCAAGAGGTATTTGTTAAGTAGAACAGTTACTCCAAGATGTGGTATCCATCACCTACCTTGTAGAAGGGCTCCATTTCTCTTGAAAAAGGTGCTTCCTGGCCAAATGGGTGGACCTGATGTGCTAAAGGTAATAAGAAATAAGTGTAAAGAAAATCTCATTTACATTGAACAATTATAAGTTACTATTTGCATGAATTCCATTTTGTTTTTAAAGCTAATGTAACATCATGGCATTTTTGCCTTCAAGCAAGGGTCTGAGATTTCACGTTAAAAATAGGTCAATTTGATTCAAGATTCACATTCCCTTCACAAGGAAAAACCTCCTCAGCAAAGCACACGCCCACACTCTCTCAGAGGAAGAGAGAAAAAAGCAATTTGGAATAAATAATTAAAAAAACCCCAAATCAACGTCAAAAATATTTACGGAGTTCTCGATACAGCAAAATATACTCCCTAAGCCATCTGCTGAAAACCCAAATGCTTTATGGCTTTTACTCAACCATAACAACATGCCACCCCAGCTAACGCATCAACACGGAAAAGTGTTGGCCAGATACCGGGTGGTTTCTGTGCTTCCACCAGAGCACTTCGCCCACCAAACCCCCTCACACGCAGAGGTCACCTCACCGCATCAGAAAACACACAGCTCAACGAGCTGTCCTGTGAGCACCCTAATTAATGAAGAATGCGTGCCGTGCGTGTGTGCGTGCTTGGTGACCACGGTGGTTCCCGCGAGACCCCCGGCAGGGTGGTGGCCGCAGCGGGCCCTCGGGCACCTGGTGCACGCAAGCACCCGCCTGAACCGAAACCCTTCCCTGAACTTGGGCCACTGCCAGGTCCCTCTTTCGCTTCGTCTCCTGCTCGTGCAGAGGCTGCCCGAAAGTAATGGCCTCTGACAGTCTTCTCCTATGGCAAGTGCGGCTGAAGGCGAAGAACAAATTCAAACATGGGAAAAGAAAGAGGAAGAGGGAACATCTGTATGATCCTCTAAACCCTGTTTCCTTCATTGCCTCAGAGCAGCCCCATGGTGCTGTGGGCAACAGGACTGTGGAGCACCCACTGAACAACCTGTGGTGCCAGCGAGCCGGAGAAGAGGGGAGGTTGTCAGGAAGTGCCTGATGGCCGCCTGCACCCCTCCTCTCCCACAAAGGCACCAGAGCACCGCTGCACCGACACCACCACACCAGAACAGCTCTCTTTCTTATGGCAGCTGCCCCATAGCCCGCATCTGTCGGCAGAAGGACCAAACTTCCTGGACATAAAAGGTAACCTTGCTCTTTTCTTAACAGTGCAGATGACTGTTGGCCAGGCACGCCCCTCCTTCCAGTACGGCACAGCTCGCCCTCCCCAGGGAAATCCACAGGCGGTGCTGCCCAGAGCAAGAGGGCCGCCGCCGCCGCTGCTCTTGGTGGGGGGAGTCCTCGACGGGAGAGGCACTGCCTGTAGGAGTTCACTGATCGCATCCTAGGGCTCAGGTGCAGCAAGTATTTTAAGAGCACAGTACCTAGGGGAAATAACTAAAAACATGGAAAAAATTTGTTGCAGCGTTGTCAAGGCAGGTGGAAGAGACAGATTGCCAGGGGGTCGTTCCTGTAGTCATGAAACAGGTTTCAAAGTCCTCTAAAGCTTGAAGACAATCACAGGTATTTTAATAGACTAAGCTTTTATTGAAATTAGTATAATGAAATTATGCTATCGATATATAAATAATTGTCCTATGCCCAAATTCGAGCACAAATTAAAAGCAAGGGACTAAATATCCTTCGGTAAATTACTGTAAGGCACTCTGCCTTTTTAAAGTAATCCACCTTCCTCTTTGGATGCAAAAATGTGAACCAAGCCCCACACGCCATTTCTGTTCAAAGTTACTTTTGTCTCCTCGTGAGTTGACTACCGCTACACAAAATGCAATGAAACGGAAAACAGATGTTGTCTATTACATTGACAGCATTAGCAAAGTTCTGATAAAACGCCATATATAAAAACCACACTGCTTTCACAATTATTCTGCAGAGACTCTTGTGCTAACGTATAAAAAGTTCACTGTGTTAAAATATGGACTGTAAAAGGATCCAAAGCAATTATATGAGTAATAAAAGCCTTCGATACTACTGAACAAAAAGGGGAGTTGAAAGAGAGAGAGAGAGACCAAAATGACCAAAGAGAAGTTAAGTAGGTCTACATTCATAAGTGCTGGAGTGCGCTAGGGCATGCACTCGTCTGAATATGCACGCTCACTTCATAGGGCTTAATGTAACCCATTGTTTGCATTCCTTATAGTAAGCACCAGCTCTTCAAGTGTAGCTCCTCAACTCACATGAAGGTCAAGAGCTGTTGAGGGCGTTCACACTCCTGTAGGACAGGCTCACAGTTTTATACCACAGAGTCCAGGATAATCTCTGGGACAGGACCCATCAAGCTACAAGTGGAAAGGTGCAGCGTAGTTTTCATACTGTACAAATTTGCCACAGAAATCAGAAATCACAGTACGGCAACTATATGCTCCTCAAAAGCCCAAGAAAAAAAATGGTGACATTCTGAAATGAAGCCATAGAAAAAATTTACTCCCAGGCTGCCGTATGCCTGTACGTGGGTGGAAGAGGGTTAAAGAAAGAAGAGGGAAAAGCATATATATTTGAACAGACAAAATGTCTCCACTAGAGAAACAAAGCCATAGTGATTTATCTTATTTTCCAACTTGAAAAAAGGCCCAAGGCTCTCATAAAAAACTCCATCTGATTCAGCACAAACCCACATGAACTGAGAAAGTTAACTGTGCCTTCCCAGGGAAGGAAGCTAAAGAATTCAAGCATGTAAATAATGTACCGCAGCGACCGGTCAAGCCTTTCAAACAAACTTCTGAGTTTGCAGGGCTTTGCTGAAGTTTAGCTATGCCTGATCTGTGTTGGATAAATTCTCTTTCTGTTCCCAAACTTTTGCACATGAAGTCTCAGATGGTATTAATTATTAAAACATATTTCAAGTTGAGAAATGACAGAGTTAAGCTATCTCTCACTTTAAAGTGTTCAAAAGCTGCTTGATCCCTGTTCCAGATTAAGAAACCATTTGAAGAAGTTCATTGTTCTAAAGACCATCCATAACAAAAAAACATTGGGTCCATCCCAGGCAGTTTTTCAAATGAGTTGTTTCTTCGGTGTAGTCTGTAAGCTACTGGAGAAGAGTGGCTGGTTCTCCGATAGAAGTAACAGCATATTCTGCATTTAGGCAAAATAAAAATGCAAAATCTGGTTTTAGGTATTTCTTTTGTAATCAAGACATGCTATAAGATTAATATTTATGCAGTTAGCATTATTGATGGCAGTTTTTCCCCAAACTTATCAACTAAACACACTGACTAAAGTAATATTTAATTTCTAATAAATCCCCACACAGCTACTAGAAGAAAAGCCATAACTAGTTTGAACTTTTATATCAGCGCGGAGAAACTTGTGGCCTAATACATTTTTGTTATGCGCAGGTTTGGACTGACTTAACTCCCAGCAGCAGCAGCAGATGAGCACAGGGCACTTGGGGAGGGAGGAGACGGACTTGGATCAATCATAAAGAGCTGAGATTTCAAACTAGCATCTTGAAAGAACATGAATTAGTATAGTTTATGGATAAGATGACACGTGAAACACCAACAGTTACCTGTCAAGGACCGTTGGTTTGATTTGCAGAAAATACTACCGTTTCAAGCAGACCCTCAGCAAAGGGATATCCAGGCTGCAACAGTACTTGTAGCAAATGCATAAAACGGGATCTGGGGTGCAAGTTCATGTCCATCCAGTGCAGGATCCACCTCTCTCTGAAGCACAGTCATTGTCACTGCGGCATCTATGCACCACCACAGGGAGCAAATGAAGTATTCACATGCTTGCTGAAAACCAGCAGCTGAGAGAACTGACAACCAACAGTGTTTAACCCATGATCTCGTGTGAAATGAGATACCTGGAACTAGGAGCCACCCCTGATCAAACCCAACCTTTCCCAGGGATTTGCTATCGATTTTTTACCACAAGTGAGACTCCACTCAAGGCAAATGATGAACTGTTTTTCCTCTGATGACACAAACAGTAGGAAACTTCATTGTGCCGCAGGGCCCCGGGCATGGGAAGCTGCCTGACCAAGGGCTAGCAGGGATTTTTCTGAGGGAAGGCTTTTCCACAGGAAAATGTTGCTTTGCTGAAATCTAAAACATTCCATGGGAATGTGTTGATTTGGACACCACTTGTGCTGGAAACCAGGCCGACGTGAAGGGCTGGCTGGCCAGCCAGCGAGGGTTCATGGCAGCCGGCCAGCCCAACCAGGAGCTCCCAGGGTATGCAGAAGCAATAATGCATGTGAGACCCCTCCCATTAATTATTTCTACCAAAATGTATGCCACACATTTATAAAAATCTTTAAAAGGTGTGTAGGCTTCAAGAGACTTAAAAAAGGAAATATAAATCCTTTGTCTTATGGAATTCACATTAGAGCAAGGAGACTGCAGTTCTTAAAGCCAAGCGCTAAAAAAAAAATCCAGGGTATGAATTCTCTCTCACAGTTGCAGTATTTCACAACTATGCCAAAAACTCTCACAGGCCTCTTTGTCAGAGGCCTGATTAATAGATTTAAAAAACCCAAACAAATAAAAACTCAAAACAAATTCAATTGTGTGGGACTACACGCCACAATTAAGGGATGATGAAAACACAGAAGAAAGGCAATAAATGTAGGCCAATGACTGTGTTACCAAATAGGTCCAGAGGGTGATGGTAAGCAGGAGGACATAGAAAGTGGGGAAAACAAACAAACAAGGCACCACCACCACCACCCCCCCCTCCCTGAACGCACGCTTCAAAGGCCACTGAAACAGGGAGCTATTAGCCCAAAGAAGGGAGGCTCAGTGGGGAAGCAGGGAAGATGCTCCACACACACCTCGGCCCACCACAGCCAAGAGGTGGTGGGCTCAGCTACTGGGGCATAGCTGGTGCCAAAGCACACCCTGGCTCTCAGGAAAGCTTGGAGTACAGGGCAGGACAGCTCAGTAAGGCGCAGAAAGATGAACGGTGTCAGCTGTAAGCTAACAAGCTGTTGCACACAATATACCCAACACAGAGCCTGCAGTAAGCAAACAGC